ATAGAGTGGGAAGATATCCCATAGGGTGGGAAGATCATAGGTGGTGAAGGTCATCTATGCATACAGATGAACCATATAATTATGTAAGTTTGATAATAATCATCTAATTAAAATATGTAAGTTATTCAAGACTCAAAAAACAATTTAACCTTTTCACCACCAGTTCCCTCTGTTCATCACAAATTCACAAAATAGTCTCGTATATATTCTGCACTTTCCTCATATGATTGGGACAAAATAGCCAAAAGTTTTGAGTAAAAAATGATAATTGACTCAAATGTTGTTTGTTTCTACTAAAATTAGAGTTCATTTCCAGAAATATTGAAGAATATAAGAAAAAAGTGCAGCAAAATTATGGCAAGAATGTCAAGTTGTGAAAAGGTTAAAAGAATCTAAAAGCAGACACAGAAATGAAAGCATTGAGGTTATTCATTCTGTTAATTTAAGTTCAATGATCTGACCCCTGTGTTCAAACATATGGTGCAAGTGACATGAAAGATAAAAGAAAATGCTGAAAAAAGGCAAAAAAATAATAATTCGATAAGAAATATGAATAACATAAAGACAAAACAAAATAAAACATGGCATTTGATCTGTCTATCTACCACTAGCAAAGTAAAGGTCTCAACAACTACAGTTTTCTTATACATTGTGTATACTATACACTTAAAATATTTTTTTTTTTTAAATCACCAAAAAAACAATTTTTCAAAAGTCAAGTACACAATTTATACAGTCTGGTAGCAATATTAACCAACATTAAATAAAATTAAAACAACATTGAAATATCATAATATATTATAAGTCAGTTTTAGGATTTTGACTCAATTCCCATAAGTTTTGTAAAATATGTAATAAATTATTTTGACAATATTTCAGTGCATATACATATCTTACAAAGTCATGTATATGACCTGGGCATATCTCCTGATTGTTTACACCTTCCTGATTTCTAAACAAACAGATGGATTCCCTGACAAACTTTCATAAATTTTGAAAAATAATTATCAAATAGTTTAGGATGATGAATGCAAATACTGAATGTATAAAACTAATTAACAAATGGAATTAAGTGACTGTGGTGCACAATTTGCACGCAATATATTATCTACAATTTTAAGTTGATAAAAAATAATAAGTAAAAAATAAATGCGAGTGTATATCAGTTGTGGAGTTGAAATTAGCTAATTATTATTCAAATTAGGTCATTATTATGCACAAACTTCACACTGTGAGACCAAAATGTACCAAGTTTTGCTGAAATACATGTATGTTGAGTGATTCGTGTGACAGTCTAAGAATAGATTATGAAAATTAGGTACTGTTGATTACTTCAAATAATAAAAAAAAAATTCAGTGAAAAGAGTAATTGAAATGCACCCTTTTCTAATATTTGACATTCAACTCAACAAAAATTAGTGGAAATAAAATTAATATCAAACAACCAAAATGTGTCTTTTCAGCAACTAATTTTAGCTAAAATAATAAATTAAAAATGAATACAAATGTGTGAACTGATAAGTATCATCAGTGAACTGAAACAAAGGAGTCTACTAAAATGTATATCAATGGTATAAAGTATGTCAACTTACAGTGTCAATGAACTCAGTGGCCATTAAATTCTCTATTTTGGTAATAGCTGCATCAATATCGTTCTTACTTTCAGCATATATATATAAAATAATAGTGTCGGCCATCCTGGCAAAGTCCTTTTTGGGAGGGTTATCAGAAGCACCAACCCAAGATTTGAAACTTCCTGTATAATGATCATTATTCAAAACAATACATTATTTCTAGCAATAAATTATAAATAAAAATAATTTTAAAAAGATCAATTTTTGTCCTAGTTCATTTTTTTTCCCTAAACACATAGCTTTATGTATCATATTATACACACAATATTGTAAATATTTGATATGTAAATATGCTTCACCAAGTACACCTCGTGAGTCCTTAATGGGGATGTCAATCACATTCTTATGGGAAAAACTTACCCCATGCTTTCCCTATCACCGATCTGGTGTCTTTCATAGGGGTGCCAATCATACTCTTCATTTCTTTATTGAATACTGCAACTAGTGGTGGTTGGAATATTGTAATTCTAATAACTTTTAAGAACTTTGGATTGTTTTGTTGTACAAAGTCACCAATAGCATCCAAGATTATATGAGCAACTGTTTTCGGAGGAATTGCAAGGGCTCCTGTAACACAAAGAACATTACTTAGCTTAGAGCTGATCAAAGCAGTTATATAAAAGGTATAATTTCCCATAATAATTTTGAAACAAAACACTTTTAGTATTAAAATTGGAGAAGAACTGTGGAAAAGAAAAGAAATCAATTGGAATACAAGACCTGGGGAGAGGCAGATGGTTCCCATGGCCAGGTATAAATAAATATGTGATGGTTTGATATTTCAATCACATAAATTGTCTGACAACATAAATATTATAATTGTTGTTATGCTTATTAATGAGGTAATATTTTTAGATTATGCATATCAATGAGAATGTATGACTTAATATGGTCGAATGACAAATGCCTTCAATAATACACCTGTTGCATTGTCATATATGCAATAGTGCTTGAGATACATACAATTACGCAGTCAAATTACCGATGAGCGATTTATAAAATGTCAATGTTTCAAAGAGCACTGTGTAAAAACTTTTCAATGGAAACACTAATAAATAAGTCATCATGTTTCTAGTAAACAGAAGTTTTAAAGAAGTGTTTTTAAATTAAAATCAGGGTATGCATTCAAAAGTTAAATAGTTTTAAGTGCACTTTCACCTAAAATGCATGATTTTAACCCAAAATCAACATCACTTAATATGGTATCACAGTACATTATTGTAAACCATAAAACTCCAAAGTTTAAATAAAACTCTTTCAAATGATATATAACTTGATGGGTAAAAAGTATATTTTACTCGTGCAATTACAGCCAATTAAAAATATAGTGTCCTAACCTGCATCTCTACCTTAATGGATGCGATATTAATATAAATAGACATTTTAATCTAATATAATCAGATCTGTGGATTATCAAAGAGCACCTATAATTTCACAGAAATCTGATGCTTATTGAGAAATTGGTGAAAAAACTGAAAATTGGCTCATTATTAGGAAAATTTGTAATGTAGTTTATATCCATGGATTTGAACAACAAAATTAGTCAGGTCTGGGCATTCTCCAAGTTTCATTTGAATTCTATGATTAGTTCCGGAGATGTTCATAAAAAAGCCGAAAATTGACAAATTATTATGTAAATAAGATTAAACTCAACGTAGAATTACATTTTAATTAAGTTTAATTAAATAAAAATTTAATATCCAGAGACTGAACATAGAAATGTTTGTGAAGCTTAGGTTTAGTAAAGGGGGAAGGTATGGTACAATTATATTAATATTGATATAAACTGTATCATACCTCCACATTTACTAAACCTAAGCTACGCAAAACGTATTAATAATCGAATTAACTATTAATATAAATTATGTTTTCCGAGTACTACGAAAAAGGACCTCGGAAGTTGGTATATATCTGTATTTTTGTCCTCACAACATACAATCCAAGAACATACACACACACACAGATATAATACACAGACAGGGTAATCCCATAGACTTTAGACATGCAACACTAACACATCATGCATTCATACATTCATATCAAGTTTGAATGAAATCAATATAAGCGTGCCTGATAATGCCATAGTAGTTATAGAAACTACATTCAACCCATTAGGTTTTGTCTTAT